CATGGGCTTCTCTCAAGGGTGTACACGCTCCTACAACAGCGGAGATAGCGGTGGTGTTGGAACGGCAAATGGCGGCACTACGAATTGAAGAAGACAAAGCGGTTCAAGAAGGGGTGCAGAAATTCTTCGACTTGTTGACGCGGCTTGAGGGAGCTGATTTGAACTACAGTGAGCTCCAAAAGAAGATCAAGTTGCTGGTCTTACTCCCAGAGTCATGGTCCTCGCTCATCATCAACCTTAATCGTGACTTGCCCCGCCTCTCGCTTGAAGACGTGAAGCGAGCGATCCTTCAAGAGGACTTCCGCCGCCGTGAGTTGGCGAGTGCGGATGGCGCCGGGGCAGCAAGCATCGGCCAAGGGTATGGCCGTGGAAGGGGCAGAGGACGAAGGGGAGGCAAATTTGGCAGCAACAACTTCAATGGAGGCCGCGGGAGTGGCGGATACGGCAGCGACAACAAGAGCTACGGACGCGGTCGCGGCCGATTCGACGGCGAGTGCCACTATTGTCACAAGAGCGGACATATGTGGCGCGATTGCTTCAGGCTCCTTGATGGATGGACCCCTGCTCAAGGCCAAGAGTGTAGAGGAGCAGGAGGAGGGAGAGGAAGAGGCCGTGGAGGCCGTAGCGGTCGCGAAGGTGGTGCTGCAAATATGAAGAACGGTGACAATGAGAGCGAGTCGAGGGACGATCGCTTTCCGGGTCAATTCTTCTTCGTGTCGACGCAAGCACGGGCTGCACCAGAGAAGGATGAAAGCTTTGAGGAGCCTGCTGATGTGGGGAAGGTGACCCTACACTCCCTGGACTATTGGGTGATCGATAGCGGCGCCACCTACAGCATGACACCTCGTGCGGACTTGCTCACCGAACTTGAACCGCCACCGGTGAAGCATGTCACATCGGCTTTGGGGCAGCGAGCAGAGGTGAAAGGCATGGGCAAGGCCATGTTCAAGGGTGCTGATGGGAAGATGGTGGGCCTCAAGAACGTGCTTTGGGTGCCCAACCTTGCTGCGAACCTGATTTCCGTGCGGCGGTTGCAAAAGGCCGGCATGGACACGAGCTCGAAGGGAGCTAATACCTATACCGCGAGACTCGGCGAGCGGATTATTTGGGACCTTTATGAGGATAGAGATGTCTACAATGAGATGTGGTAGATCCCTGTGGTCCCCATGCCTAAGGAGAGGCAAGTGGCAGCAAGCATCAGCACCAAGGGTGAAGCGGTTGGTAGCGGCGATGGCGCGAACGGTCGCGCAAAGGAGATTGAGTCTAAGAAGTGCAATCTTGGAGGGACCAGCAAGCTCGGCGAACACGAGGAGAATGGTGCAGCAGCTCAGAAGCAGCACAAGGGTAAGGAGAACCCCAAGGCAGCAGCAGAGGAGGACTACGGAGAAAGCATGTGGGGCACTATTGCGAGTGCGGCATTCTCCAATCCGACTTCGGCTACGGGGGAGTGTGATTGGTTGACCTTGCATCGGCGCATGGGGCATGTGGCCCTGCCCATCTTGCAGCAGCTAGTGAAGAATGAGATGGTTGCTGGCATACGTGTGAAGGGGGAGCCCGATGAGGTACTTGGCTGCCCGACGTGCATGCAAGCCAAGTTCACCCGTTACCCATTCTCTAGTTCGGAGGCAACGGCTATGGCACAGCTTGATGAGGTGGTGATGGACGTGGTGGGCCCCTTGAAACTTGGAGCTGCTGGAGCAGAGTACTTCCTCACCATTGTGGACGTCTACACCCGCATGACCTGGGTGTACGTGCTGTCCAAGAAGAGCGACGTGGCTGAAACGGTGAAGACCGATTGGTTGCCGATGGTGGAGCGGCAACAAGACCGGCTAGTCAAGTCAATCCGCACCGATCAAGGGGGAGAGTTCTTGAGCAAGGAGTTTGGATTGTGGCTGAAGAAGAATGGCATTAGGCACACCCTTACCATGCCATACTCCCCTGCAATGAACGGCATCGCCGAGCGAGCGAACCGCACAATCACGGAGACGGCACGTGGGTTGCTCATTGAAGCCGGGCGACCCGACTACTTCTGGCCTGATGCGGTGCTGAGTGCGTGTGTGGCCAAGAACAGAGCTTTGACTCATGTCGGAGCAGACAAATGGGTGCCCTCTGTGGAGTGGATTGGAAGGAAGCCAAAGGTGGATATGCTTCGGGTGTTCGGGTGCATGTGCATGGCGCTCGTGCCTAAGCATCTTCGGCACAACAAGCTCGGTGCCAAGGCGATATGGGCTGTGCACTTGGGCATGGCTCAAAACAGCAAGGGGTGGCTTCTTTGGGACCCATTCACCAAGAAATTATTGGTGAGCAGGGACTGCAAATTCATGGAGAACCTGATGTATAAGGATTGGAAGACGGAGAATGAGGCGAAGACAGGCGTGCGATTTGGGGAGGTGAAGAGTTTTGGTTTGGAGCATGTGGAGCTGCCCTTGGAGCTGAGCAGTAGCAGCACCACCACAAGGCAATCATCCCTTGTGAATAGGGGAGAGGAGGCCAAGGATGCAGAGGAAGAAGAGGAGGAGGTGCAGCAAGTGAGCGAGCGTGCACCGATACTTCCTTCTCGCACTACGAGTGCTCCACGGATCCGAGTCACCCCGCAACAACGCCATGAGAGCCTTCATGTCCCTGCAGCTGAGGAGGAAGGAAGGGGCAAGAGGAGAATTCAAGCCCCTAATAGGCTGACCTATAATGCATTGGGAAAGCCAGCCAAGTCAGCTCTGGCCGGAGCGGCACTTATGGTTGGAGATGACGAGGAGAGTGACTACGAGGAGTGTGCCTTCGCATTCTTCTCCCCGGTGGAGATGACGGGGGAACCAGCAACTCTCAAGGAGGCCTTGGAGAGTACTGATGCTGAGGAGTGGAAGAAGGTAATGGAGAGTGAGCTGAAGAGCATTGACGAGAGCGGCACGTGGGAATTGGTGGAGCTACCGGAGGGGCGTAAGGCGATTACGTCCAAGTGGCTCTTCAAGATCAAGTCCGACGCCGACGGCAAAATCGAGCGCTACAAGTCTAGGCTTGTGGCCAAGGGGTACCAGCAGAAGGAGAAGGTGGACTACAAGGAGTTGTTTGCTCCTGTGGTGAAGCCGACAACGCTGAGAACCCTACTCGCGGGTGCTGCCATCAAAGGATGGGTGGTGAAACAAATGGACGTGACAACCGCGTTCCTCAACGGCATTCTCGAAGAAGAGATTTTCATGGTGCAGCCAGAGGGGTTTGATGATGGTAGTGGCAGAGTGTGGAAGATGAAGAAGGCGCTCTATGGGCTCAAACAAGCCCCTAGGCAGTGGTACTTGAAGCTGCGTGAAGTCTTGGAGGAGATCGGGTTCACTCCCTCATCCGCCAATCATTCCTTGTTCATGCTTGGCGAGGGGGAGCAGAGGAGTTTCATGGTGGTTTATGTGGATGACATCCTCATTTTCTCACCCTCCTCTGACCTTGTGAAGGAGGTGATGCAAAATCTTCAAGACAAGTTCAAGCGCAAGGCCCTTGGTGACGTGAGCTTCTACCTCGGGCTCCACATCGAACGAGATGTGGAGAAACGGTGCATGCGGGTGCATCAACGGAAGTACCTAGAGGCATTGGCTGCCAGCTTTGGGCAGAGTGAAGGCCATGTGGCTACACCCTTTCCCTCTGGGTTCAAGTGTGTGAAGGGACCAGAGGAGGAGAGCATTGGTGAAGAGGAGAGGCGCCGTTTTCACTCGTTGGTGGGCAGCCTCATGTACGCGGCGGTAAACACCCGACCAGATGTCGCCTATGCAACCGGACAGTTGGCTAGGGTTGTTCAATGCCCTAATGAGGAGCAGGTAGCTGCTGGAATGAGGGTGGCCAAGTATCTTGGCCAAACACCGACCGTTGGGCTGCAATACTCGGCGGCGGCGCAAAGGCGCCAAAAGGGCGCGTATGGTGTTGAACCCGGGCGTTTGTTCCTCACCGCATTCTTGGATGCTTCTTATGCATCGGAACCAGAGGACATGACAAGTGTTGGAGGGTTCATTTGCTGTGTTGGTGGAGGCCCAACTGCTTGGGAGAGCAAGAAGCAGGTGGATCAAGCATTGAGCTCGGTGGAGTCCGAGTATATGGCACTCTTCCGTGCCGTACGGGAGATTGTGTGGCAGCGGCGTTTGTTGGCTAAATTGGGGGAGGAGCAGCAAGGACCTACCCCACTCTACTGTGACAGCCAATGTGCTATTGCTCTTGCTAAGAACCCTGTGTTGCATGGCCTCACAAAGCACATGAGGGTGAAATGGCATTGGACAAGGAGCATGGTGGCCACAGGTGAAGTTGAGTTGCACTACGTGAAGACGACGGGGCAGCCAGCTGACATGATGACCAAGAGGCTGGTGGAGCAGCAGCATTGGAAGTGTTGCAAGCTGGCTGGGATGGCTCTGAACTGAGAGAGCAAGATCCTAAAGCCAACAATCCGAGGGGGAGTTTGTTGGTGCAACCCTACGGTTTGTGAGTGTGTGCATGGAATGGTATGAGGGCATGAGATAATATATATTTCATGCTAACAATAGTGTGTGAATGATGAGGCATGATTTTGAATGTGTGTGTCGAGTCAATAGCGAGTTATCGCTAGTCGTGTGTCACGTCGTCGTTTGCATGTCGTGTGCGTTTTTCTATTTTGTCGTGTGTGGAACGTTCGGCGTGTCGCAGGTGTGCGCAGCAGACTTCCAAGAACTCAAGGAAGAATTTATCTTGAAGAACCAGAGCCTTGGTTTCAAGATTCAAGTGATTTCCAAGCTCTCCAAAAGGGTAAACTTCAAGATAGTGAGAATAGTTACATTACTTTGTGTATTGTAACAGCAGCGGCAGGGGCGCTGGCAGCAGGGGCTGCGGCTGTGGCGTCTGGGGGAGGGGGCGCAGGAGCAGGGGCTGGGGGAGGGGGTGCGCTGGGGCTGTTTCAGCGGCCATTGCTGTTCATAGCAGATCGGAATTTCGAGCTGGCGGTGGGGGTGCAGCATGAGTGGACGTACCGACCGTTGGTGCATGATGTGCTGGGGATGAGGCTCAATAGAGTTAGCATTCACAAGGGAGGGGCGGCAGGGGGAGCCGGGGCAGGGAGCGGGCCGCTCTCGCCGGTGCTGAAGGGAGCTGGAGGGGGTGGTGGTGCGAAGGCGACCAGCTATGAGCTCGATGATTCGGATAGCTTCTGGGTGGCTCATTCGGAGTCCCCGTTTCCCAAGGCAGCCGAAGCGGTGAGTGTGATGAGGCAGGGTGAAAAAAGGTTGAGCTCAGTTGAGTTTTGGAACAAACTGTAGAGGATTGTCTAATCCCTAGTGTGCCTTCTTTCACTTCCTTTCGCTCCTTCAGGCATCCTAGGTGGCCCTGTTGTGATCCCTCCTCTCATTTCATCAAGCATCGCCCGCACATGTCTCCCCCACTTTCTTTAAAGCAGGCGAGGATGAGGAGGAAATGATGGGGCGCACTTAGCATCTCCGCAGCCACAAGCCCAACTGCTTTGTTCGTCTCCCTCTTCGCCCTCACTGCTCTACTTTCTCATGATCTTCTCCATTCTCCCCGTTATCCCCATTTCTCCCTGCTCACAGGTGGACATGCTGCTGTACAAGTGGAAGCATGACAAGGAGCACGTGAACGCAGCAACCGTCTGTCCCCTCTCCCCCCCTTCCATCCTCAAATCACTGTCGCCTTGTCCCTTGCTCCCCGCTTCCCACACAGGTCGACATGCTGCTGAAGAAGTGGACGCAGGACAAGGAGCAGGTGAACGCGGCCTCGCCCACAGGCGACGCGTTCTCAGAAGCCGAAGACGAGGATGTGATGGGACGCACCAAGCAGCTGTCGGCCGCCATGAGCGCCGTGCCGCAGCTGATGGAGCGCAAGCGAGTCATCGACAAGCACGTCACCATCGGCGGGACGCTCCTCGAGGAGATCAAATCGCGCGCGCTCGACGCGTACTTTTCCATGGAGGAGGATCTGCTGACGCGGGGCAGCACGGACCGGGCGGCGATGCTCGACTTACTCAGGAAGAGGGGGTCCAAGGAGGATAAGCTGCGGCTGGCGATTATTTACCTGATGGTGACGGACAATGCGAGTGCGGGGGATGTGGAGGCGGTAGAAGCGGCGCTGAGGGAGCAACAAGTGGACCTAGCCGCTCTGCATTACATCAAGCAGGTGAAGCGCGTCAACTCCAGCTTTGCTGCCGTTGCTGCCGCGGGGGGTGGGGCCGGAGGAGTGGGTGGCGTGGGCGGCAGCAAGGATGATCTGCTGGATTGGGCCGGGCGGCTCGCTGGGCAGGGTTTGTCCCGAGTGACTGCTGGTGTGAAGAATCTTTTGGCTGGGGGCAGGCAGCTGCAGCTGACCCGGGCAGTTGAAGCTCTCATGGAGGGCCGGCCTGGGCAGGATACAGATTCTTTTCTCTGCCTCGACCCAAAAGCCCCCAAGGGGGGGAGCAGCAGCACAGCAGCAGGGGGCAGCAGGGGGGCGGTGCGGGATGCAATTGTCTTTGTGATTGGAGGGGGGAACTACATGGAGTATGGGGGTTTGCAGGAGATGGCGAGGAAGGCAGGGGCAGGGGGCGGGGCAGCAGGAGTGCGCACGGTGGTGTATGGGACGACTGAGATGCTGGCGGGGAGTCAGTTTGTGGAGCAGCTGTCAGAGCTAGGGAGGAAGATGGGGTACAAGGCCCCTCCCCCACCTGCGGAGTCTGTGGGGGGGGCAGTGGGTGGTGCGGGGGATGCTGGAGGCCATAGGTAACCTGTTGGTTACCTCTGTGCGTTGCTGCTTACCCTTGTTTCTAGTGTTAAGATTCCATTTCTGGGCATTACATATTTAGACTCCTCCCTGTTTTACGTGTTCCTGTGTACGTTATTCACTACAAATCTCAATCGGATGCTCTTATGACGCATCACCTCTGCCAACAGTCCTGCGATCGATCCTGCGCGAGGTCGTTTTTTGGCGTCACAGGTGTCAGATGTTATACATATGCTGTAGGCTATATTGGGGTACTCATTAGTTACTACAACACTTTTAGGTCATGATATGTACCCCTTCCATTCCTTAGTCAATCATTATTGTTTCCTACCTTTAACATGGTTTCATAGTAGGTTCCGTTATAGGACCGTTTCTTTAGGGCCCACAGGTAGTTCCGTCCTGCCCGTCGTTCTTTTTTGCCCTGCCCTACCGGAAGTTTCTGCACTGCCCATTACGCTGTCGCGCTGCTGCCCTGCCCTGCCCAGCGCGCTGTCGCGCTGCCATGCCCAAACCCGCGCGCTGTCACTCTGTCCAGTGCGCCCGCCTGCCCGCTGCCCCGCACGCTGCTCGCACTGACCGCGCGCAGCCCGCACGCCGCCCGTGCGCTACCCGCGCTACCCACGCGCAGCCCGCATTGCCTGCGCGCTGCCCTGTGCCGCCCGCGACCACATGCACGCTGCCTGCGCACCGCCGGCCCGTCCTCCGCTGCCCTGCGCGCTGCATTACGCGCGTGCCTGCCCTGCCCTGCGCCGCCTGCGTGCGCCCTGCCTGAGCCGCCTGCGCATTGCCCTGCCCGCTCCCTACCCTGTCCTGCGCTGCTGCGCCGCCAGCTCGCGCCCTGTCCCGCTGCCGGCGCTGCCGCCTGCTGCTGCTGCCAGCCTGCTGCCCTGCCCGCGCTACAGCCGCCCAGCCGAGCCGCCCTGCCAAGCCGCCCAGCCGAGCCGCCCTACTGAGCCGAACTGCCGAGCCACCTTTGCTACCGCCCTTATTGCCACTTCTGTTGCTACTGCTGTTGCCCTTGCTACCACTGCTGCCGCCACTGCCGCTGCTGCTGTCGCTGCCGTTACTGCTGCTATGGCGACTCCCACTGTGCTCACCTTTGACGCCGAGGTCCACCCGATCGATTTTGAGTCCTGGTTAGAGGACCTCCACTGGTATCTGCGGAGCGTTACTAGAGAGGATGTCTCGCTCTTTGAGCATACGTCGGGGTCCCTCGATGCCCCTGCTGACTCAGCTGACCGCGTAGCCCGGTCCCAGTGGAGTTCTCGCGACGCTACTGCCACTCTTGCTGACCGTAGTCTCCTTCCGCTAGACTAGCGCACCCATTTTCACCAGCTTAAGACGGCCAAGGCACTTTATGACGCTGTAGTCAAGCGCTTCTCCTCCCCGTCTTCTGCCACTATAGGCCGTCTAGCGCTGCCGTTTCTCTTTTGTGAGTTGTCAGACTTCACCACTGTAGCTGACCTCATGACTCACCTGCGCTCTCTTGACACCCGCTACTGTGCCGCTCTCGAGTCCGACTTTCTGGCTGCGAACAACCCCTTCATGTACCTCACTCTCTACTTCCTCATGACCCGCCTCCCTGACTCCATTCATGCTGTTCGAGACCACTTTCTCACCCTAGACCCCATTAAGGTCACCCTCGCCTCGTTCGAGACCCGTCTCTTAGAGGCTGAGTCCGCTGCCCTAGCTGTCGCTGCCTCCTGTGGCACTCCCCTCCCCTCAGTCTTTGAGGGGTGCTCCCCCTCCCTGCTCGCGCCGTCTGTTGCCTCTGCTGCTGCTGTGGACTTCCTTTGTGCTGAGGAGGACGGTACTGCGTCTACTCCTAGTGGGAGGCGCCGTAGTGGCAAGGGCAAGGGTGGCAAGGGTGGGGGTGGTGGGGGTGGCAGGGGTAGCGGTGGTGGTGGCGGGGGTGGTGTTGGTGGGGGAGGAGGAGGAGGTGGCGGCCGCAGTGGACACGGAGGGGGTGGTGGGAGCAGTGGGTGGTGGAGGGGGTGGGGGTGGCTCTCGGGGTGGAGCTGGCGGGGGCTGAGCTGGAGGTTCGGCTACTCGTACTACTGCGTCTGGTGGTGCAGCAGGTGGTGGCGGCGGCTCTGAGGGTGGACAGCAGCAGCAGCTGAGTCGGCAGGTGCCGCTTCGTGAGTGGGCGGTCCAGCGTGGCAGCTCAGGTGGCCCAGTTCGCTGCCCGTACGTCCGACGCACATGTCCGACCGCACGGAACACACGGAGCCTCGCTGCTTTTTTCGTCTCAAAAACCTGTATCGTGCGGAGCATGGTGAGCAGCTAAATACTCCAGATTGGTTAGCCTTGCTCAAGAAGGACATCGATGTGTTTGCCTGTGATTGGAACGTGATCCATGCTGTCATGTATGTGATATATGCTGCTTCTAATAGTGTCGAGGGTGACTCGTACTCGTGTGTGCCTAGAGCTGCTAGTGTAGAGGGCGCTATTCTAGGTGCTTGTGACTCAGCTAGCACACGCGCAGCGCCTGACGAGGCCTTGCACACTTTCACTCTAGACTCGTGCGCGTCTCGCTGTTTTTTCCGCGAATGCAAAACAGTCACACCACTCACAGCCCCTGTCCCTGTCACTCTGGCCGACCCCTCCGGTGGCCCAGTAGTTGCACGTGGCTCTAATGTTCTCCTGTGCCTAGCAGCCCCCTCCGGCTCCCTCATAGGTCTCCACCTCCTCTCGTTCGCTAGGAACTTGGTGACTACCGCTGTCCTCCAGGACCAGTTGGTCACTACCACCACATCTGAGGGAGAGCTCGTGGCGATCTGTATGGACTCACGCATTAGCGAGCACCTCGCCACGTTCACTCGGAGGCCTGGGTCTGGCCTGTACACACTGACCACTGAGTCTGCACAGGTGGCTGAGTCAGGTCAGGTAGCTGCGTCGGGTCAGGTAGCTGCGTCGGGTCAGTTCGCTGCGGCTTGTGCGTGTCAGCTCCTCACTCACCCGGCTCTGCTCTGGCACCACCGTCTTGGTCACCCCTCCCAGCCGCGTCTGCGCACCATGCAATCCCGTCTCCTTGTCTCTGGCCTCCCCAGGTCCTTGCCCCCTCTCCCGAGGTCGCTTGCACCGCTGTGCCTTCCCTGCGTTGAGGTGCGGCAGCGCGCCGCTCCTCAATCCTCCGAGTTTCCTCTGACCACTGCTCCTCTGCAGACCCTCCACATGGACGTGTGGGGCCCCGCCCGCGTCACTGGATAGGGCGGCGAGTGCTACGTTCTGCTGGTTGTTGACGACTACACGCGCTACACCACGGTCTTCCCCTTGCAGAGCAAGGCGGATGTCCGCAGTGTCTTGATCCTCTGGATCCGCGTTGTCCGTCTCCAGCTTAGCACTCGGTTCCGGGGGGACCTCCCAGTCCTGCGGTTGCACTCTGATCGAGGTGGTGAGTTTTTCTCGCGCCTCCTCGAGGACTTATGAGGTGCTGAGGGCAGCACCCAGTCGTTCACGTTTCCGGCCTCTCCACAGTAGAACGGGATTGCAGAGCGCCGCATTGGCTTCGTCATGGAGGTTGCTCGCACCTCCACGATCCATGCGGCTGCTCCCTATTTTCTGTGGCCGTTTGCGGTCCGATACGCCACACAGCAGCTCAACCTCTGGCCCCGTGTCTCCCACTGCCTACGCGCAAGTGCACAAGGCATTGTGGTGCTCAAGGAGCTCGGGAGCAAGACACACATCACGCTGAACGATGTGCTAATAGTTCAGAATCTCCGATTCAATCTCCTCTCGGCGGCGCAACTCATGGATTGCGGGGTTCAACTGAGCACAGACCCCGCGTCGCGCGATATCATCCTACACTACGCAGCGCTCGACAAGCCATGCAAGCAGATCGGACGAGCACACTCCGAGAACGGCGTGTACGTGCTCGGTTTCGACATCCCCGACTGCAGCGGCAACTCGAACGAGTTAATCGATCTCGTTCCACTACGCTTCGAACACATCCACTGTTCTGAGTGGAAACACCCTAACGGGAGGCCTTGGGTGCCACGTCATCCGCACCCTCGCGAGGTCGCATTGCACGACCCCGACCCCGATGACATCTGCAGGGACTGCCACATGCCAACGGCATCTAACAACCGCAATTGTCGGACGTGGACTCGCCGCCATTGCCGACGCATAACGATCCGCACCACTAGACAAAGGGATGTCGGCGCTCGAACTTGAAGTTACCACGCAGCGCATTTTCGGCACTCCAGAAGATCCCCTCCTGGGACCACCCTCACAACGGCTCAAAGGCATCCTCCGCGGACGACGCCGCGGAACCTTCAATGAGCGCGGAGTTGCGCGCCTGTACACGAAGCAGGAATTCATGAAACTATACCCCCACTAGCGCGACCCTATGAAGAAACTCACTGTCGTAGAAGAAGAAGAGTTGGCGCTCTGCGAAGCAGAAGAACTTCGCAAGAAGAGCATTGCCGGAGCGCGCGGAACCTTCGCGTGCAGCGCTTGGGGCACAGCCAAGGAAAGCGCCTCCAGTGAAGGGGGGTGGGGCGCAAACACTGGCTAGGGAAGCACCAGCTGCGGTAATTGGGCTAACGCTAGCGGAGGCTGGGGGACTGACACTAGCGACACCAGCGGCGATTGGCGCACCGTTGGTGGAGGCTGGAGCGCTTGGGGAGAAGGACAAAGGGGGGGAATAGAAGAATCCAAGGAAACAGAGCCTCTTGTTGTTCCTCTCGGTCCTCGACCCCACGCCGCACAGTCTACGAACCTGATCCCGAGCTGCGCGAACCAACATTCGTCCTCGGAATGATTCATGGGACCAATATTCCCCTCTCCGTTATTATCGACAGGGAATTTCTTGCGCTTATGCTGTCGACAACAAACGAAGAGGAGGCAGAAGAAGAAGCGCCAGTAGCACCCACTCCAGTACTTGAACAAGACCCCGAAACAGTGCGCACGCGCTACATGCGCACCTATGGACTCCGCGCGACCAACGACCTATGGCGCCAGTGCCTCGGTCACCCCTCACGCACGACGCTTAACAACTGCAT